CACGCTCGATGTAGCGCAACCGATGTAATCTTGTGTGAGCGTAACTCAACCAAATCAGCTCGGATCAACTTACTTTAATCATGGAAATGAATGTCTAGAGCAGGAGCATTGTCCACCTACAATAGAATGCACAAAAGTTGGGAATGCACAAAAGTGGCTATTAGCTGCCAATGTATGACATAAAGTGAGGGTTGCGTACCTTTCATGCATTGTCCCTGAAGTCCTGACTTTTTAGCTGAGTTACCCATAGAGGTCCTTCTGCATCTTTTGCTCTGCCAGGGTCCACCTACTTGACAATGAATAAAGACCACTTCCCATATAGCATCACGCTTACAAACATAGAGGCGCCTGTATCTCCAAACTTTACAATGAAACGTGGGGTTTTTATTAGAGCAATGGGCTCGGCTTGGCCAACACTACCTTGTGTGAAAGTTTCACGTTCAATGTCGCAAACAGCCCAAAAAATATTTTTTGGTCGTCGTCGTCGAAGAGGTCGACCCCCCGATCCAGTTTGGCTGGTGGCGACATTGCGAAATCTGGGATTGGCCACGATGAACTTCATACTTTGACACAAGATCGCTTTGACTCAGCCGAGCAGGTTCGTTCTCATAAAGACCCCACGTTTGATTGTAAAGTTTAGAGTACAGGCACATGTATGTTTTACCTATGCTGTAAGCGTGATGGAGTTGCTTTTTCCTAATGGATGGTGTCGGCTGCATGAACGGAAAGATGAAGAGCTGAGTGAAATGGCACGCGGTGGTTACACAAGCACGTCCTTGACAGGTTGCTGCATAAATGGATGATGACAATGATTGACTTTTGTGAAGGTATGTAAGTAAACAGCGTCCAATAATGAAGATGTGTCAAAGTACGGTATAGACAATAATGGCTCCATATCACATTTGCATGTAGGAGAAGGTCGAGCTGCATAAACCAATTTGTATATGTAACCAATCCAATGATGATGGGTCACTCATCCTGAAACTCAATGGAGCGATCACTTCATTTTTTTCTCTTCTCAAGGTCATCCCATCTTCCTTATTGTTCTCAAAAGCCATGTACTTCTTGCACAACCGATAACCGGCACACCTTTATTATTCCATCTTCGATAGGATCCAGCATGCTAACCATTATGTGAATCGAGTTGTGTTGCGGCCGAGATAAACAAAGGGGGCTATACTGGTATGATGATGGTGCCCAGCTTAACTTAACCAATGTCTACAAAAGCAATCTTCGATGGGTCACATGTCAACAAAACATTGATCTGGTCGTAAATATAGGAATCATTTAGGGCACTAGAAGCATTGCAAAGAGGTCATTCAATAAGGCCACTCAATAAAAACATCGATTACTAATCGAAAACAAACGCAGTTGGCAATTAGAAAAAGGAAATGGTTGCTTTTAATGCAGTGTTGGCATTGGAGAACAAAGAATGCATGTATGGGTGGATAATGAAATGGAAATGCAAGGAGTATAGTTTACAAAGTTGTCCATCCGCCTACATCAAAGTTGGCTTCGATTTGCCTTGCAACGTATACAGGGATATTGTGTTGGAGCCACAACTTGCGAAGTTCGGCATACCGCTTGAGACTAAGGTACTGAGGTTTACCACGCCTACATCCATCGTATAAGTATATACTCCTATATATCCCATTCACAGAACAAAGAATCAATGCTTACCGTAAACCGAGATCGACCTCGCCATGGGAATCCAGATAGGGTGCATTCATGAACCAGCCGTTGTCATTATGCAAAAGAATAAGCACACAGCGTTTGACCGATAAGAAGATACCAATCTCACCACCACATCTATACACATTAAATTGGATCAGCGTGATGTACATAGTACGCGTTTGCTATCATGGATACTTACTCGAAGCTATGCAAATTGCATTCACCATACTCGCCATCAGCACAGCAAAAGCTTTGCGTGCAAACAAATGTGCCACACAATAAGCAAATAGAAGGGTCGGTTGGAATGGTGCCACATTTTGCGCATATCCTTCGCATGCTCTCGTCAATCAATTGTTCAAATCGGCGCGGGAGAGGGAGTAAATAGAGTGGTGTGGGTGTATCCAAAGCAATGTCAACGAGTCGTGCAGCAGCACTGGTATCCATCGTCGTCATTGTTTCTTGATGCAATTGCAATTCTCTGCTTGATTCTGATACATGTTGCTCGCACCATGCAGCCACCAGCTGGCTATCTAGATCCAATTGAATCAATTCATCAAGGCTTGGGAGGCATAACAAATTCAATAATCGATCGAATTCATTGGTATTGGCGTCTTCCATAGGAGGTCGTCCATTCACAATGTAACCATGTCGTACAATCATCAAAATGAGCGTGCGTCGTAAAAAGGGAAGTGCGAATGACTGGATCAATGCTTGGAATTTGGAAGCGCCCACCATATCGAACACGTGGTTGGCTTCAGTCTCTGAGAAATTCAAATGCTGCATTACAAACATGCAAAAATGCCTGACGTTTGGAGAGGGTGGTGTCTCGTCGCTATCCGTCATGGTTGTCGTTGTGGCCTCATCATCCTCATTCATTGTCTTGAGCTGGTCTTGAACAATGGCCACCACCGTCTTTGTGATTTCAGCCAATAAAAGCACTCTGATCATAGCGTGTGTGTTCATCTTTGTGAAGCGAATGCCGTGAAATGTGAGTTCGGATAAAATCATGAATGGATCATCCTGCAGCAAAGGTGGGTTGTCGCATAAGAGCATCCTGTCATAGCTAAGCCCATGCATTTCAACAAGATCATCAAGGCGCACATCAGGGAATATTTGCCGAAGTCGTGACAATGCATACAAGTGAACACGTGAGTTGACCTGGTTGGGAGTAGGACCCGTCGTTGATGAGGATGCATTCTGCTGGCACATCACATGCGTATAGCCCAAAACGCTATCACAAAGAATTCGTAGTAGCATTCGTGTTTGAGCGGGTATTTGATCAAACAAGGTGTCTGTGTCATCAGGTTGTAAAGCTTCGGGTCGTTTGGATCCACGTGCTGCAATCTCTACGCTGGTGATAGTGTAGCCAACCAAACCCCATAATAAATCAATGCTCTTGACATTGGAAGACATCTCCTGCATCGTCTCATCGTTGCACAATCCTCGATAAATGATCGATAAGACATCAAATAGTCGTGTGTACATTTGTGAGATTGTTGCATAGTTGTCAAAGGTGGTGCCATGCAACAAGTCTCGATCAAATACGTTCCAGCGAGTTTCAGTGAAGGATGTTGTATCCATGGCAGCAGCTGTGGCATCTTGTTGTCCTCCTCCAGTGGCCGAATCACTGCTAAAGATAGGTCCACGAAAACCCAACCAGTCATCAGAAGAGCTTTCACCTTGTACGGTTCGAAGATAGGGAACAACGTAGGTATTGAGAGCTTCCTTCAATTTGCTTCCTCCACTAGTACGTCGTCGTTGTGCTCGATTAATCACTGCCTGCTTGATACGATCCGCACCCGATTGTACTTGAGACTGCAAGAATGATGAATAATCGTTGTCATCATGTTGCTGTATCACTCCTGGGAATTCCTCCTTTCGGCCTTTCCAATAAATGGGGAGAAGAATGTTGCCAAGCGACTTGCACAAAGGACACATGAATTCATTGCGTGTTCGATTCTCGGGTTGATTTCTCGTGAGTTGGGATGAGTGGCGTGAATCGATGGATGTACAATACACTTCAAAGCATTGAATGTGCATAAGATGTCCACAAGTTGATGCGTATAAACCGGTCTTGTGCAATTGAGCGGGCTTCCCTGGGATATGATCAAAGTCGTCGGGAAGAGCTTGTTCATCGGGCCATTCAACATCCAAGCTTCCTTGCATGGAACAGATATGCGATAGCACAGCAGCATCGTGTAGTGATGGCGATTGGCGTAAAATGTCGGATGTTTGAATTAAACCAAGCATGCCATAAGATTCTGATTTCTCATCAACGTCCTCTTGACATACGATACATGTTCCTGTTGGATAGGCACATAATCTTGTAATCGTTCCATCATCAACAGGGTGCTGTGAAGCATCATTGGCGCCATTCAATATCTCGTCATCTTCATCTTCGTCATATAATCCTTCATTTTGTTCCATGAATTGACTCTGTGCTTGCGCGAATTGCGCCATAATCTTCTTTTGCCGTTCGAGTGCTGCCTGCTTTTTCTTTTGGTATTCAGATGCAGCATCACCATTCTCATTCTTGGTCTCTGATACTTTCATACGTCCATTTCTCCAAGTGTGTGTTGCACGTCGTGTACGACCAGGACCATACTCTTCGAGTCGATCAAATATCCAATCCAATTGTGCATGAATCTCCTTGTAATTCTCTTCGTCGTCCCGCAACTGGAAAAGAATATCAAGCAAAGAAAGCTCTTCCGATTGATCTTCGTCGGAAAATGGGAAGTAGTGTGCACACACAAACTCATAAAAGCCTCCACGTTCATTCGTGCTGTTGGTGGGTTGTCGATGATTGCTATCCGTGAGAGCGAGCATAATCAAATACAATGCTTGATCCAAGTTGGTGTCACTTTTATGGCTGCCTCCCAAACGAATGTTCCAAAGCGTGTATGCCATCATCTGTGTGAACACCTTCGATTGCAGAAAATCGCCCAAGAAGGAAAAGGGACCATTTTGTAGCTGTGGCAACCGTGGTGTGACAAAGAACTTGTTGCCATCGTGTTGTTTGTTCCAACGTTCCTTGAGAATGGCTACAGCTTCCTCACGATTGTTGCGGCTGTAATGGTAGAAATATGGGTCGACTTCATTATAGCATTCATCCTTCAATCGATAAGATCCAGCATCGTTGATACCAATGGGTGCTTTATAGTCACCCACTTGAGAAAGCACGTGATCAAAAGCAGCATGTTCATGCAAGCGTTCAGGTATCCTCCTGATCAACTCTGAAAATGTAACAGGGCCAAGGCATAGGTTGTGGATAATCTCTCGCCGGATTCGATGCTCCACTGTCATACCAGTAACATTGGCTTGTTCACTCGCACAAACGATCAAAAGGTTCAAAAGCTCTTCCACCATAAAAGTCGTTTGTGTGGTATCATAGTGAGGATGGCTACGCTCTCCATTAAACCAGTTGTATAATCCAAATCGATCCATCAATGTCACCAAGAGCTTGTCGGCATCAATCGTGGCAAAACCAACTTGCAGCAAAAAGACATCGGCATCATAGGTATTCTCTCGTAAAGATATATCACGATAATGATGTGCCTAATATACATCGTCAAATTGATAAGTTTTACCATCATACAAACTTGCCATCTTTTGAATCTTACCTGATTTCGGATACCATATCCATTCCTCACCCAAACACCTGCTCTGATTTGTGCCGAAAAGGCGATTGTTCGTAGCGGATATTCAAGAATGGGTAATAAAGTATCAGGCGTCACCACTTGGTCATCCGTAGAATTCTTAAAGAGAGTAATGACTTGGGCGAATCGACCAGGGTAGCCAGCCATCTCGATTGTTTGGTCATTCAACACAAAGGCGTGTTCGAGGAAGCATGCAAGCAACCAATGGAGAGGATGATGGAATGAAACAGGCTGTGATAGAATATCATATTCGACGATCTCCAGTGGCTGTTCAATATATGGAGGATGGATCGTATGAAAGACTTGTGAGCTTGCACCTGCAACACCAGGTTGTTGTGTGGTGGGTCGAGGTTGACGTGATTGTGAGTTGTCTTCAGGGACTTGGCGCATATCATCTGGTGATGTATCCCAATCTTGGATCTTTTTCAGGACACTGGTAATGCATCGAATCAGCACACGTGCCATAGCCAATTGATCAGCATCGGTGCTCTTGGGAAGTTTGGCAAAGCATTCGGAAAATTGGCGACAGCATTTGGCGATTTGTAGAGTCACATTGAAGGCGTTGACCCATATCTCGGATTCGTATTCGACGTGCGTATCCTTTTGACATAGTTGTGCATTCATGGATTGAAACATGCTGATCAAATCGAGGAATTGTCGCAAATAAAGAGGGTCTTGTACCAATACAGGCTTGATCATATCCACATTCATGATATAGCGCAGGTCGTGGAACGCATTAAAATAGCGACGTGTTCGAAAAGCGCGAGATTCACAATTGATACGTGAAGGTGATTCTGCTCGCTCCGATGGCAAAAGAAGATAAAGGTGATCGGTCAAAAAGAATGCTGTAAGAGCTGAACAAACAAGACCAAAGAACTCGTATTGATTCACCAATAGATCGGCAACGGATGGCACTGTCAATAATTGCACCGAGAAAAGTATGATGGATATCTCAGGCTCACGATCCTTCAATAAGAATGATTCTGCAAGTCGTGCATAATTCCTTGCAAGCCGTTTTCCTATTCATGGTCATAGGTTAATGTCTTGTATCAATCACAGCTCTCTTGTTGTCATATTACCTAATGTCTTTTTGAAGGTTCGACTCGGTGCAAGGGATGCGATATAGAGCTCTCGTAAAGCTATCCTCATTTCCTTCCATAGCTTGAGATCGTAAAGCATGAAATAGTCGAGCCGAAGCTTCTTTTTGAATTCGAGTTGTATTTGGCTCGCCAATGCCATGGTCGTCTCGCGATCCAACCGTTTGCTGGGATCCATAAGGGTATCAGGCTGCTTGCCTTTTAAGCTGACATTGGCTATGGTATTCTCCCAAGACTGATTTTCCTCGCTGCGTAATTGATGAAACTCTTGGATCATGGAAGCTGGATTCCAATCGATATTGGCGGCATCATATTGACTATCTGCTGTGGATGCTGGATGTGTGCTGGGCGCGTATGTTGTATTGGTGGATTCGTACATTTCAGTGTCCTCTGATATCCCCTTTTCTGTTGTCAACATTGCCGAGTCATCTTTCATGATATTTTCATCATCATCGTCATCATCGCCGGGGTGAACAGATTGCTTTGATGTTGTCGAAACGGAATTCCTTATCTCCCACTCAGCGCATAATTCTTCAGCAACAATGGTTCGTATGATGGCATCACCTCCTGGTACATTGTTGAAAAAGCGAGTATCACCATGGACGAGTTCTTTGAGCCAAAAGATCAAAAGATTGCACACTTTTTCTCGATAAACATCGCGCGTGGATCGAATGGTGACACCAAGATTGATGGCTGCAAGAGGTGCTGCTATCTTCTTAAGCTGATCGACACTTTTGGAAACTGCAATCACTTCACGACCCTAAAGAGAGAGAGAGAGAGAGTAACCTCGCATTAATTTCATCTGTGCACGGTTCATCCAATCTCCATCTCCGCCATCTTACATGATTATGAATCGCATCTACCATCTCCTTGGCGCGTTCCCATTCACACCCAGTGGCCGACATTAAGCACTCCAACACATGAGAAAATGCATGTCCCTCGTCATTCCAAGCCAAGCATACGTATTCTTCCTCATTGCCATCTTGGGACGTTGTTGATGTTGATTGTTCCATAGAAGAACGGGGTCCATCCAAGAATATGAATTCATTGTTTTCCTTATCCATGTCCACATCCTTGTCCTCATCCTGAGAATCATTCGCATCTCGGCTGTCGGTTCTCGTGCTACTGCTGCTGCTGCTCGTATTGTTGGGTAGTGCAATATCTTCAGGTGCAAGTGTCAAGGTATCCAAGACGAAGTCCAATGTCGCAGCAATGGTAGTTCGAATACTCTCGATGATTTTGGCTGGTACCTGATTCATGACATCCTCTTGATCATCCATGCTACCATCACCCATTGACGTGTCGGTATGAATTTTACAATTCAATGGGACCTTCCAGGCTTCGGGATCACCACAATCGCAACAACCACCTGATCCAGGGCTCACCGAGAATAAGACATCATGCCCGTCATGTTGCGTTGCATGAAAACACCGCGAACAAAATACACACGTGTCATCCAATCCACAAGTTCTATATACAAGGTATAAGCTTCCTGCTCATCCTCCTCATCCTAATTGATCCAATTGTACTTTCCTGCATCGGTACACCGGTTCTCCTTTTCGAAATACGTGTCCACATTGCCTCCCACGTTCACTGGATGAATCGATTGGTGGAACAATTGCATTGCTATGCCATACTTGGAGAGTGCCGGATGAATGGGTGGTGGTGGTAGTAGTAGTAGTGTCCATATCATGCTCTTGGTTGCTACTGCTGCTGCTTCGATACTTTAGTTGTTTTTCAATGGCTTGTTGCAATTCTTGAGGACTCGAATAAAAGTACTGTTCCATGAGTGCCGGGTTTTGTTGCCACAATGACTCGTAGCAGTAGCTAAGAATCGCTTTGCATGCATGGTCATCGAACCGATAGTTGAAGAAGAAAGGAGCCTGCCAAAGGTATTGTACGAGGGTCGAGTAGGAGGAACATGACGTGCTCGGGTAAGAAGTCGATGCAGTGGGGTGATGGCTGCTACTGCTGCTACTAGTGTTGTTGTCACCGCCGAGCTGTGGTCCTGAAGGTGCAGATGCCATGAAAGAAGGTAATCTGCTAATGCCACAAGGTCAAAGAAGGAGGTTCGGGTGTTGATTACTGGGATGAATGTAAGACTTGTGCGTGCGTTGAGAAGACGACAGGTGGTACCGTAGCAAAAAGAAATCAAAAATCGAAAATGCGGAATGGCTCAAGGACAATGATTCGGCCCGTTTCCGCCGATGATCAGAGTGATGGCATCACCTACTATCATTCTCTCTTCTTCCTATTAGCTTATTAATCCTACCTTCCTACTGCTCAATCAATTAATCATCAATCATTCCATATTCGATAATAAAGTAGGGTTTACGACATCACACATGAAAATTTTATTGATAGAAGAAGTCTCAATAATCAAATAGGATGGACTTGTTGGTATTGCATCCTCATCTAATGGATCATTGTTTGGCAGCAGATCGCTGTAGTAGTATCATTCGCATACCTTTGACCATGATCTCTTGTTGTTTCCAGATGTCTCTAGAAGCAGCCATCCAAATCCACCTTGGATCCTCCCCATTAGCCTTGTTGGATAGCAAACCATATTAGTGAATCGATCCAATGTAGTAGCAGATGCACATCAATGACATGTGATGATATGATTGGGTTCTACCTTATCAAAAGAGCTATCACAATGACGACAACTACGATGAAAAAGAAAGAGCCTTGGTTTGATTGTCTATGCATCATACGGCAAATGACATGACCAATGAGAGCCGTGTCAATACATATGCATCAACATTTAACAATGACGTCCATATGCTATCAGAGCATCTTCCCCGGCTATAGAAGAGACCCCCCACCAAAAATGAAACTGCATTCATCTTGTGATATGTCGTGGGCCGTGAACGCACACCCTATTCTTCATTCTGCTTCCAACATCTTTATCATTCTCATAAGAAAGCACAGACGCTCACGTTTGTCAATGAGGTATATGGCCGACTGCTACAACAGCTGCTATGATAACCTAGCTCTTTATCCCAATGTAGATGGCCTATCCGTTATGGGAGCAGATCCTATTTCTCACAACCCAAAGTATGATGACGTTTGTCTACATACGAGGGTACATGGTACAAGAACCGAATTAGCTAATTTGGTAGAGGTTAACGATCAATAGCCTGATGCATGATAACTGGATACCCGCTTGTTATGAAAAATGGCAATCCAAAAAGCAAGTAAAGAAAAATGTGAATAACAACGTTTATTGCTTTATCATTGAAGGATAAAAGTTACAATTGTGAAGATGTCATATTGAATAGAGTATTGTTGTTGTGGTGGTGGCGGATGGCGTGTTTCATCGTTTCATCTCCTGAAGGCTGAAGCCAGTCATTGCACACACACGGCAAGTGAATCTATTCCGACGCAGAGATACATTAACCCTCCTGCTTGTTCCAGTTCGTTTCAACTTTCACTATGTCAGGCTACAATCTCATTTGGGCTTTCATTGGATTGGCCGTTCTCTCTGCTCTTGGCTATGTCGTTGTCCCCAAAGGAACCAACCAGACGTAAGTCCTCATCTTGTCAATGCTCTCCCAAGTCCCAAAGAAAGACACTCATCCAATCCTATAAACGCCACAGTGTAATTCGTACCATGATTGTCATGACTATTGCTTGCTGCTATATGACGTAAGTTTGGACGCTATCCATTTTGACTATGGGACATGGTTACCATATCAGCAGTGTTGCTAACGACGAAACGCGCGACTGTTAGTTGGGCTATTACGTATCTTGCACAGTTGCATCCTTTGATTTTCCCGAGAAAGACCAACCTTCGACCACACGTGGAGCACGAGTAAACATACAACACGGCGACAATGCAGTCGATACCATGAATGATTTGATGTGCGTGCCTACTACCGATTATCTGCCAGCTTAGCAACTTCTTCTACCCTCCCCCTGTTATGTTTGAACCCCGTGTGATATACCAAGCAAAGAAAGATCTGGATAGTCAGGACGTATTGAAAGCATAGCATTGTCATTGTATTGTTGATGCATGAACATGAAGGGTTTTAAGGGTGTATATGGGTGTGTTTGATGGGAGAAGGAAGGAAGATTGGATGTCTCAACTATAGGCAAAATGTCATATGGGGCGGGTCTTCTTTATCGGTAGTTTATATTCAAGTATGATACTATACGCTTGTCCAATAGGTTGCTGTCCAGTGATTCCTGCCGTTGCCCGACTGTAGTACAGGGTTGCTATGTAGTATTATTTGACCTTCACTACCGCCACTCTCCTATTGTTTTTTCTCTCACTCATCCTACTACTCCTTTTTGCTTCCTTCCCCTTTTCTTCTCTTGTGTGTAAACGCGCTTGGCGATAACCTAAACACCTTCCTCACCCCCTTCCCTTCGTTGCACCCTGAACTCGCAGGAAGAACCGAGTAGATAACCTGTTTCGACCATTTCGTCTCGATTGCAACCTTCACGATGGGACTCATGGACAAACTCAAGACTCAGCTTGACTTGTGGAAGCTCGATAAATATACCAAGCGTCGTAATGTAGCCATGCCTGAGTTCGAGCCTAAAGGTAGGCTGATTTATACATATACCCACACACATACAATCATATCACATCCATATCTGATATACGTACACACGCTGCTATAGATCGAGATTTTTATCGGCATTACTATCAAGATGGCGTATACCTGCATCAACACCAAAAACCTGCAGCTGGAGTGGAAAAAGTCCATAGAAAGTCAACCATAATGAAGAGAAAAAGTGCTCCAATGATACGGTGTTCAGAAACCTACAATTACTCTTAATCAAGAAAAAACATCATGTAAAAACGCATTGATTTGTTCTCTCATTTCTATTGTGATACAAAGCGGGGCATGGTTGGGCAATTGTTCATGGCAGCATGTATATATGGATACATGTCAATGCTAAAGAAAGAAGCAATAGCGTGGATGGCTTGTGCCATCGAAGCGCGTGTGGGTACCAGACATCTGGATAAGTAGGGTGTACATGTGGCAGCCATGGTGGGTTGTGTTCAGGGTTCTCTTGGGTACCAAAGTCGTCAACGCACACATGGTAACTCCATTGTCCGCTTGAAATTCATAGTAAGCCAGGTAATTGCATGCAGCTTGGGTGACCCTATTGCTAGTCTACTGGTACATGTGGTACATCACTACCATGTTTATCGATGTAGATAGCTAGTAGCGTATTGTAAAGAGGTCCCTCACTCATCAGAACTATAAAACAAGGTTGTAGCTATATCTTCTACTAGTTGAATGTGTAACTCTTCAATCAGCTGCTAATCCAGCGGCTCCTCAATTTATAACTCGGTCCGTTGCCATGCATTTTATTGTGCTTGGCCACGCTTTATTGTAATGTCAAATCGATACCTGATGGCTATTTTGCAAGTTTTATTGTTGGTCTCATCAAAGTATATGAAGGAGCAACTTAAAGTAGATGGTGACAATACTAGTGTAATAGGGGAAGTAAACGGCTATCGTCAAGGCCGAGAATTCGGAGGAGGATGTTATTAATGGGCAGCAACAACAGCGACGAGGATGAGCATCAACAATGGTATCCTTGTCACATGACTTTTCATGTAAGCGTAGTAGAACATGGCATCATTTTAAAATGGCTCATTTGATGGAGTACCACATAATATGATAAGGTAAGCGTCGTACGTCCCATCTACATCATGTAAGAACCCACTCTTATATGCAGAATGATTCAATGGGATGAAGTTGAGGCATCTTACGTAGAGTCGAATGTTTCTATTTGTCTTCTTACTCGGCGATGCATTTCGTGGCGGGTTACAATGGTTGCATGAATATGCGGTACGCAAGAACATCGGGGATTTCTAGCCACCTCTCTATCTTCTTCCCCAACCGACAACACACACACACACACACGCACACACGCACATACACCTATATACCAATGTCCTCAGTAACGCCTACGACCAAAAAGTCCATTTCCAAAGATGAGTGGGAGCAAAGATTGAACAAGGTCAAAATCAACAAGCAGTGAGTACCCTCGCCAATTCCCTTTCTTCCACCTCTCTTTATTGACTCTAATGGGGAAACCATTGCCAGAGATTTGAATCGACTCGTTATGAACTACTTGGTTATTGAAGGATACAAAGATGCAGCAGAGCAATTCAGCTTGGAAAGTGGACTTGAGCCTACTATCGACCTTGAATCTATACAAGAAAGGATGGAGATTCGTCATGCTATTCAGTCTGGAGACGTGGATACAGCTATAGAACTTGTTAATGATGTGAATCCAGAGGTAAGGTATCGCTTGATAAGGTATGTCGTAATCAATACTGAAAATGGGGTAAATAGATTCTCGATGACAACCCAGAGCTCTTTTTCCATTTGCAGCAACAACGATTGATTGAAATGATACGTAAAGGTGAATATCCAGAGGCACTCGAGTTTGCAGCAGAGGAGATGGCGCCTCGTGGAGAAGAACATCCCGAATTCCTTCAAGAACTAGAACGAACGATGGCATTGCTTGCATTTCAAAACATCAATGATTCCCCTGTGGCTGATCTGTTACACCCCAATCAACGACAAAAGACAGCAAGTGAACTTAATGCAGCTATTCTTATTAGTCAATCTCGTGAAAAGGATGCCAAATTACCAATGCTTCTCAAGACGTTAGCGTGGAGCCAAGAGAAATTGGATGAGCGTATGGTGTATCCAAGGATTGAGGATTTTGTTTCTGCTGATTTAGTTGTACGAGATAGCCAGGGCAATGTAGTAGATGATGCTATTGATTCTTCCTCTTCTGCCATTCTGTAAATACAATAATTATGGTTTTTTTGGGGTTCTATCCAATCTGAAACTGTTATGTTACTGAGAACAAAAATCACACGGTTGCTGGCACGCGATCGCATCAAAAAAGGCAATGATTCGTCGGATGTTCACGCATGTACAGTACATCGCGCAGCACACACACCCACACCTGCTGCCATTATCGTGACTCAGCTCCCATTAATTCATTCTTTGCTCTTCCTCCAACTTCTTTTTCTCCTTTTATTCCAATACTCACATACATTCACACAACGAATACAACATCACAATGAATTTTGAGGATATCGTTGACATGGACTGGTTGAACTCCAACACAACTAGTGACAATACACTCTCTCCTGCTTCTATCCAAGATGATCAAATGGCCTCTTTTCCCACTGCCAATTACTGCACTGATAACGCTCTATACGCCTTTTCCGATCCTTCTCTCTTTTGGCCCAACGATCTCTCAACGGCATCAAACGATCTAGGCTTCAAATTCGACTTGCAACAACAACAGCAACAACAATCAGGTCCCATGAGCGGCGTCCCTTCTGATAAGCAAACCACCGTACAGCAGCCAGAATCCAAACTTCCCGAGTTGGTCATGCCAAGCACAGAACACATTAAGCAGCTCATTGAGATCGCCAAGCAACATCTGGCGCTACGTGAACAGCAACAAAAGCTTCAAGTGCAAGGGGAGCCCACTAGTTTCACACCTGGTGCCCTTCCTATCCCTGCCCTGTTTGCCACGAGTGCCACCACTCCTTCTACAACAAGTCTTTCATCCGCCATGCCAAACACAGTGTCTCCAGAATCTCTCATGAAGGGCGTTACAGGGGATATGGATGAAAACATGCACAATGGCAACAACAACAACATGGGTGATAACAAGAAATCATCATCATCCGTTGCTTCTTCTTCTTCTTCCATCAGTGGAACACCACGTGCTGCATCTGTTATTCCTGAAGAGACGATGACATTGGAAGCCTATGCTGAATCCGATGGTATTGATATCAAGAAGCTCACTCCCAAGGAACGTCGACAGCTGCGCAACAAGATCTCGGCACGGAATTTCCGTGTCCGAAGAAAGGGTAAGAAAAGAGAGCGTGGCTGAATAATAGTGATCGATCACTCACACAACTTCTTATCTGATATCAAAAGAATACATCAATACATTGGAAGCTCAAGTGGATGACCATAAGAAACGTGCCGACCAGTTGCAATCACGATTGGATGATGTGGAAAACGAGAACAAACAATTACGACAAGAGGTGGATACTTTGCGTCGTCAAAACCAACTTTTACAGCAACAACAGCAACAAAAACAAGTGGCGAGCACCTCATCATCATCATCATCATCTTCATCATCACCTCGTGTATCATCACCTATTCCCAAGCCCAACCTCAACAAGGACATTAGCATGCTTGGCAGCAAAGCCAGTGACACGTATCGCCAAGACACCCGTATCTTGGTATCGAATGCCGTGATGCCGGTCTGGGATTATCATCGTATCCTGCAGCAACCAAACAAATCCACAGCCCCGACAACCACCACCTTACAGGGCTCACAAGTGATGCAGTGTGCAACCCATATCGTGAATTCATTTGTTCAACTTACCACTGCAGCCGCAGCCTTAGTGCCGGATTCCACAACGACACAAGATAGCAACAACAGTAGCCATGGCAACAAGGACGACCAAGACACCACTGCCACTTCACTTTTACCCTTGTTGCCTGATGATCGTGATTTCACTAGCCGAGACGATAAGCTTTCATTTGCAACAGCAACTCCTTCTTACGCATCATCATCCTATATTGAATACTTGTACGACACGCTCATCATGTCTGCACTGAACAATAATGCCGACAAGTCGTTTTGCTGGTGGGAAGAGCACATTGATGCTTGAACAACTTTTCTCCATTACATCTCTCACATTGACTTTTCAGTAACACACACACCACCTTTTCCATCCATTCATCATTACAACACACACACCTCTCTCTCTCTCTATGCTTCCTTCCCATTTCTCCCTCTCTTTTCCCTCTCTTCCCCCCAAAGCTTTCTCCTTTTGTACATACTATCAGCAGTCATAGGCACCCATGATCCTGAAATAAATATTTTTGCATTAGTATAAAACAATCAAGTCGTCATCACGATAAATGGAATCATTGATTCATAAAGCAGTGGATTGATTTGAAAGAGATTGGGATGCGTTATCAAAAGTCAAAGCTGATACCAGTACTAGATTGCCATTTGTTGCAAAGCCTTACATACTCATCACCGATTATGCAATCTTTGACGTGTTGTATCCTTTAACATGCTGCCGTATAGTTACTTTAGACATATGAAGATAACCTATTTGATGTTTGTGTTACTCGTAAAGAGACAAGCGACATCTCAAGTTGCAATCATTTATATAAAAGATGGCTTTATTATGCATGTAACCATGGCTATTAGAGTAGAGCGTATAGTAAAGAGATAGCTGTTAAGATGAAGAGTATAGATGTAGAAGAGGAGGTGGTGGTGGTGGAGGTGGAGGTCAAATTTTTGTGGCAAAGGGAACACCGAGAGAGGGCTCTCAAAGAGAGGCTAAACGAGAGAGAGACGGGCAGCTCACTTCTTTCGGATCAGCGTTACGCATTTCTTTTTCCTTCCTTTTCCACTTGTCTTGCTCCTGTGCATTGGTCCGAGATTCCCAAGCATTGAAACTTGTAGGGTGCTTTGACTTGCGATTTGCAATATCTTGTATACACGATCGAACTGTTTTCTTTTGCGATTCGTATAGTGAGAGGGAAAAAAGAGACACCCCCGATTGCGTACACCACACACATTCCAAGTATACACAGACAACGCCATACGCTCACGTTCACGGCATTACCTTGTTCACCCATACATACGCGCGCGTTTACTGCACTCCATCCACCCACCTACTATCCATATATAATCAAGCATGTTCTTTTTGGTATGGGATTCGCGTTCTCACTCTTCCTCTCGCGTGTCAATGAAGACTCATCTATGTTGTTTCTTTTCTACAGAAAGAGCTTTCACACACTATCTCGCTTCACCCATCCTTCTTTGGGCCTAATATGCACGCACAGCTCAAGGACAAGTTGTACGCTGACGTGGAAGGAACATGCTCTGGTCGCTTTGGATACATCATCACGGTGGTAGCGCTCCTGAACATCAGCAAAGGAAAAGTATTGCCGGGAACGGGATTGGCAGAGTTCAAAGTGAAATACCAAGCCATTGTATTCAAGCCATACAAGGGTGAAGTGGTGGATGCCGTGGTTACGACCGTTAACAAAGTAGGCATTTCATGGTGATAGGGTATGGTATGGTATAGCTAATCATTGGCACATCTTTAGATGGGCTTCTTTGCAGATGTTGGACCGTTGCAAGTTTTTGTATCGAACCATGCAAGTATTTTCATATCGATATAGCAAGAAATGAGGATGGGGGAAAGAAAAGAGAGGGATCAAGAGGAGGAAATGAGAGGAGCTGACATGGATTTTTTTAATAGCTTATTCCAAATGACATGCAATACGATCCAAATGGTAACCCTCCATGCTACTCATCTGAAGATCAGGTAATTGAGAATGAAGACCAACATACAATGATGCATGATATTGATAAAAGTGACATGTTTGTAGACTATACAGAAGGATGTGCAGGTTCGGATAAAGCTGGTGGGCACGCGTACGGATGCTACCGAGATTGTAAGTATGGGGGATGTTATTTCCTTTTTGAATTTGATCCAAGCGATTGAACGGCTGGTTACAGTTTGCAATTGGGACCATCAAGGAAGATTACCTAGGAGTTATTTCACCATAACAGCAGCAGCGGTCATCATCATGAGTGATGCTCTTTCAATGGGGTCTATCGGTTCATTCTTTTTACATTTCGTCACATACAATCCTCTCCTCGTCGTCTGGTTCTTTTTCATCAATATCCAAAAAATGCATCACCGGGGCAACTTATTACCACCACCAACAACAACAACAACAGCAGATGCCTTTCCTCCGACCTATTTACAGCTTCTGCTCACATTTCAACAAGGAACCTCTCTCTCTTTCTCCATAAATCACAAAAAAAGACAAGATAAAAAAAGAGATTCAGCTCTTGCAGGCATCTCGCCGGCAACATGTGTATACAATTCAGTTTGTTGTTGCTTTTGTATGGATATCATTGAAGGATTGATATAGCAGGGATTGGGGTTTCTATGCGATAGTGAATGAAAGGGAATGTGTGTGTGTGTGCAAAAGTGGATATCGGTTAGCTACTACTAGGGTATTAAGATAATAGGATAGGCATCTCTTAAAACGAATCCTCGCCATCGTCATCATCATCATCACCATCCTCGTCATCGTCATCATCATCCTCATCGTAACCAGGGAATGTCTCATTTTGTGTCCTGACAAACATGTTTCGAGTATACTGGTTCCACATGGCGTCGTCTTCCTCAATCATGTGCTTGGCCAATTTGAATAAGCTTCGTGGTGAAAGATCTTTTAAGCCATAATCACTCTCGGTGGTATACTCAACGGCATACGCAAGTGGTTCACCTGGATGCTCTAATTCCCAACGTGTGATGTTTGCATAGTATTGAGTATAGCCAAGTAAGGTCGGCATGGGTGCTGAGGTTGATGCATTGTATCGATAAACGCGAATCGATGGATAATACACAGGCAAAACGGAGGGTGATACTTGAACGGCAACCAATGAATCGAGGACATCATCATAATCATCATCCAAATTGTTGTCTTTTAAGGGTGCAGCCATAGCCTGATAATTGAGCGATGATGATGGATTTTCTTCAAAACCCATGGACAAATAAAGATCACGGAGCCAGTCAACATAGCGTTCAATATTGCGTGTGATCCTGATTGGGCTGTCGTTGACAATCATATGCTGCTGATTTTGTTGTTGTATATCGTATTCTTGTATCACATCAAGATGATCGGCATCGTAAAGCAAGAAATGATCCATGTTAAGATGACCATAGTGTTGGCTGGTGATGACATCCTTGTACTCGGAAGAAATTCTCAAGTATTCCCGAAAACAGGTTTTACGATAGTCGCGTGGTGAAGGTGGTACATGGCCAATGATTACAACCTGGGTCTTGTCATCTCGTGCTCGTTGCAGCTCTTGCTCCAACCAGATGAGATGATCCCGTGCAGGACCTGATTTTCGGCAGTTTTTGACCCGCTTGTTGCGTTTGAGGAAATACATGCTGTTTAATGATAACACTCGATAGCTTGCTGTGTCAATGGCAAAGTAGCCGCCTTTTTGAAAAGCTTGGCGTTGGCTAGGCGGGATCCATTTGCCCCAAATTTGCTGATAAAAGTGATAGATGCTATCATGGTCCACAGGTCGATTATGGGGATAAACATCATTGTTGCCAAGACATGGGATGATGGTAATATCAGTGTCACCAAATACATCCATCATCATATCCGCAGCAATCTTGTTCAGCTGTAAGACTTGGTTTCGGTTCCGTAAATCCTTGCGATCCCAATCATGCCTATGCATGTAGATGATCATTATTAGCATTTTCCTCTTTATGGTGATGCAAGATGTGTACCTGGAGTTGTCACCTGTCCAAATGACGAAATCAAGCTTATCTTTCCATTCTCGTGCAATCCATTGCAGGGTCTGCTTTGTTAGCTCCACTGGTGCATCACATCTTTTGCCAGGGGCGCCAAGATAGCCAACGCGCTTCATCCTTTCTTTATCATCAGGTCTTGGCTTACGATGACAAGCTGAGCCAACGCTAGCACTAGCAACATAATTTTCATCCATCTAGTACATAGAATGTGTCATTACATACATGCAATAAAGATGTTGTAGTATACCATACTTACATGTGTATCGGTAATGTGCAAAAAGTAGCCATGTCGTCTGGTAGGTGTACGATTGGGTGATGAAGGAATACAACCATCGGGACCACAGCTACCAGCATCATCGGGAATACCACCATGGAAAAGACACCACCAAGTGGTGAAAATGGCAACACACAGCAAAAGCACCCTTGGGAGCATCTGTGTAGCGAAAAAGGAGAAATAAAACCGAGACAATAGAAGAAGGAAAGGAAAATAGAAAGATCCACAATCAACAAGAGTTATTTAAACAGTGACTTTTTAATCCGCCAAACGAGATGTCTGCAAGCATGACCAACGGCCAAAGAAAGTTTAAAGAGAGAGAGCTTTATGTGGATGGTGGGGGGCAATGGATCATGATCCCCGCTGCCGTTGTCGTACCACCGCATGGATGCATCTCTTGCTTACGATTGGAAAATCACGCGGATCCTTAAAGATGATGCTTTGCTATCACCCAAACTGTCAGGCGTTGTTTAGACGCCTTTTTATTTTTTCTCATCATCTTCTCTAGAGAATCCCCGTGACCACAATAAGTTTTGTTTCGAGAGCACGGATACAGTGTAACAACCGCCTGCAGCAAAGTATACTGTTTCCCCCTGCTCACCACCGTATTGGATCCTCAATGTTGATATGTATTATACACAACGTCTCTGTGACATGATGGCTTCGGCTTTCTCATGTCTTTTGATGAACCAAGGGAATGCTGTGCCACCGGTTGTATGTGCGAATTTGGGCAAAACGGGAAGCGGGGTATAGGATGATGAAGGCTTTGGCTGTGGATGTCGATGAACGGTGATAAGCTCGAAAGTGCATCGGCGTATGTATGATGCATAATACATCAATGGGGATGATGCGCGCTTTGTTTACCACGCCAAACCGTTTATGTCATGTCGCACGCTATCCAGCGTGACACCATGTGCTCGACACTATTTAGGCCGCCCAGCCCATCATCATCATCATTTCAAGGAAAATCAAAAAGGGGGTTCTTGGGTAGGTGTATGTTTCACTTTACAAGTTTCCGGCACCACACAAGCCACTCATACAAGTGCTAAAGTTTTTAACGCACAGGGTGCACCTTGATCTTTTCATCCCATCTATTCTTTTTCCTTTCCATTTTATAAACCCGTTGCCATGGCTCCCGTCAAGTCTACCATCACCAAAAAGTCCAAGTTCGTCATTGATTGCTCTGCTCCTGCCAATGACAAGATCTTTGATACTGCTGCATTTGTAAGTTTTAGATGGATGGATGGATGGGTGATGGTGTGAAGATGGATGAATGCTAATAAGACATCATCATCTCTATAGGAAAAGTTCTTGCATGATCGCATCAAGGTCGAAGGTCGCACCAACAACTTGGGTGATGCGATTACCATCTCCCGAAATGATAACAAGGTCATTGTCGTTGCTACCATCCCCTTCTCCAAGCGTTACCTCAAGTACCTTACCAAGAAGTTCTTGAAGAAGAACCAAATCCGCGACTGGTTGCGTGTGATTGCTAGTGATAAGCAGACCTTTGAATTGCGTTACTTCAACATTGCCAATGATGAAGATGATGGCGAGGACGAGGAGTAAGCGTATTGTTTCATCCATGATCCATTTACCATCACCATTTTCTTTGTACATAGCACACCCTTTCCGTTGTAATAATAAATCATGTAATGCTTGCTGGGTGAGATGAGAACGAACCCGCTGGGCAGATATCTATCTTTTGCTCACAAATCACAATCTCTGTGGAATGCATATGAATACGACGTATATGTATAAAGTCATCGGATGATCAGCAATTTTCAAGGTAAGCATATCAAATAGTGTTTATTCAATAAATTTTTTTGATCAACAAGCATATGAAACACGCGTGATGTAATTATATGGTTGATGATGAGTGACATTGATGCTCGCCATGATGACTACAAAAGGTAATCCTCTAATTTACCGGGCCATTTGCATGAACAAAAGTGGTGGTGGTGGTAGCTACGTGTGAGATCAATTAGTGTATCATTGACATGTGGTGATTGTGAAGGGATGTCGTCAAATCAAGTGAATAGGTAATGTCCCATCCCATTAGTAAGGGCTGTGGGCGCCACAGTAACGAGGGTATAGCCACTATCCTGGTGCATATTTGATGTTACACGAATATAAATGAACCGAGAACAAGGGATGCGAACAATTACAAGTCCTCATATCGATAAGCAATGTGGGTGTCCCTTGGTGGTCGTGGTTACTATTCATTAGGAATAGGATGCCGCGGATGATTATCATTATGCATGTTTCTTATATTCTTTTCAGGAGCGGATCAGTGAGTGAATGAAACATGGGCATTTGAAACCAGATGTCCAATCATCAAAGTTGGTACCACCTCTTTAACTTCTTTTGGTGCGGCGAAAAGAAAGTGAAGAAAAAATGGAAGAATATACCGGGGACTCACACACACTGTTGCAATCAATCCACACGTATCTCTCTCTTGTCCCCTTTTGTTGTTGTACTCTCTTTTATTACTTGTCTCTTTTTCTCTTTTATCTACGCGCCAATGCGTCCTTTGGCCGTTCCGACGTCCGTTCTCTTTTTCCTTTTACTTGCAGCTCTTGCAGGTGCCCATGACGACGACGATCAACCTCCTCCACCACCGCCATCACCTTCATCCCCACGAGAAACACTTGTCATGCCTTCCAATGCTGCCCATGTATCAGCAGCTTCTCTCATGGCAGCCGTAGCAGCAACCCCTGCACCTACGCTTGAAGAAGGCCAGTCAACCGACAACGACGACAACGACTATTATTACTATGGCGACTCCACCAAGGAACATAAAGACAAGTCTCGTTCATCAGAAAAACGTACCACAACAACCAATGATGCGGGCGAGACTATTATCGTCAATGTTACAACCGTGGTTGTCTCACCTGATCCTGATCCTGATCCCAACAGAGTCTATCATGGCAGTGGGGACCGTGCCAATCAGCAAGACAAGGGCTCAGAAGGCAATGATGGTGATGTGAATGATCCCAACAGCGATGTGAATGTGACAAAGCAATTAGAAGCAGATCAAGCAGCATTAAAACGCTTGGTGACAATCCTTTCAGTCGTTGGTGGTGTTGGCGCCATTGCCGTTGTCGTTACCATTGTTGTCTTTACTCGAATGCGGATACGAAAACGAAAGCGACGTGAGATGGAACAAGATATCGAGAGCACCGATCTACGAGCATGTTCTTCATCATCACAGCAAAACAATGATGACAATGACAATGATCATAGCAACAACCATGATACGGATCAGCAACCCACATCAACCAACAATGAACAACATCCATCGAGTCATTCGAACGCGCCGGCAGCAGAGAATGATGATAATGATGATGGCAATGAAGGAAGGAGAGATAGGGTGATGACACCTATTCCATCAGCACCACCTGCACATTATTTACCATCAATGGATCAAAACTCCTCATCAGCCTTTGAACGACGGAGGAACATCATATCAATGGCATCGCACACAGCACCAGCCCCCTCAGCCCCATCAGCAAAGGAGTTGGATGCTTTGGTCGATGACGAATCCAATGAACAACATCCAAAATCACCACTCGCAGCAAGTAATAGTAACAGCAACAACAACAATGATCCAACAGGTCCAACCAATGATCATCAACATCAGCAGCACTTACAAAACGCTGGGTCTTGTCCTCATTGCGAACCACCTGAAATACCTCCACCACCTTATATGCCAAGTGCACCGCCATTGTACGCTCTTCCACCCGAACCTTTCATCATCAGAAGCCCATCCATACCACGAAGACGTCATTCACAAGGTTGAAATTTTTACTTTACTCATGCACAACAACCCACTTCATTACTTGTACAGTTTAATACTCTTATTACGTCTCCCCTCCCCTTCATCATCATCATCATCATCATCATCACTACCACCTCTTCTCTTCCCACACATCGCTTATATACCCACCTCTTGTCATTAGTACACTTGTATTTATTCCGCCTTCTCCTCCAAGAGAATACAATAATAGATGATATTTTGAAATAACAATGCTATTGTGTATAAATGGTAATGGTGTCAAAGGGTTGGTCAAAGATGAAATGCATGATCCTACCTACATACTTGAGCAACAGTAATGCGACATGGATCCTCCTATATCTCTTTGTTCGTCCCTATCGGAAAGGCCTGGCCCAAGAAAATCGACCTGCATGAATGAGATAAAGCAGGGCAACACACATCAGTGTTTCTATTAATGTATACCATCAACTCTGTCATCCCAAGTTGTCATGCTGCACAAAACGAACAAAAAGGAGGAGAAGGGAGAAAGGGAAGGAACCCACAACCCACATACTACGATCCACACGACCAGGAGAAATGCACTAGCAATAGAGGTGTGTGTGGGGAATGATTTTCATTATGTGCACTGCTTGAGCGGAAAACTCAAATAGGAGATCTACAATGTCAACAACATCCAATAATGTGTGATCCGGTACATATCCATGGAGGATCGTCTTTGTCTGTGTTTTAGTGCTAAGCAAGCTTTCGTTGTATTATATCTTTAGAAAGAGAAATGTATTGACCCGTTACTTCCATGTGCCCCTACAACCCCCCACGCCGCCCCCCCCCCGTGCGGAGAAAAAGATAGAGAAGGGAGGG